AAACGTGTTCGTTTTTGTTTTATCCTATTATATTTAATTTTATTTTAAATAATTTTGTCTAGAATGTAGGTTCACCTAAAAATATACAAAATATAATACATAGTAAAAGAAGAAGTTTTACTAAAGATGTAAGCATATCATTTTAATGAATTATATGCACGAGAAAAATGTGTTTGGTTATCAATAGAAATGATTGTTGTTTCACTTGGAAAGCCATTATAGCCAAGAATCAATATTTTCTTTTATGTTCTTAACACATTTCTTCAAAGCAAAGTACAAAATTATACAGTGGTTGTTTAGAGTCTGTGGGGCTGCCGAGTACACACACACACACACACACACACACACACACACACACACACACACACACACTTTTTAGACTTTCCTGAATACTACAACAACAAACTATTTTTGTTCAGACACTTTATACTGGAGAGAGCTATTTTTACAGTGAATCACATCCTGGTCTTCAAAAACAATGGGATAAAACTGGGTACTCAATACAAGGGTGATATTTCCACTGTGAACAGGAAGTGTGTGTGTGTGTGTGTGTGTGTGTGTGTGTGTGTGTGTGTGTGTGTGTTTAAGTTTGATGAGTATTTTTCTACAAAGCTCTCAAGGGTTGATTGAGTTTATTAAATGTTTGTTGTTTATTTTATCACATGAATACTTTGCTTTCATTTTAAATTAAATTTTTAATTGTTCTCAAACATTCATAAATTAACTTTTATTTATTTATTTTTCTGGGTTCTTTGGACAATAACCTATTCATGTTGGTACTTTTTCCTGAAAATTTAATCTTTTATTACCAAATTAAGAATTAGTACACCGACTGACTATAGTATTCTTACTTTCTTTCTGATCACCATAGTGATTGCTCTTCAGAGGTTAGCTAAGGAAAACAACTTTGTGAATCAAATAGTCCAGGGCAGCTTGCAGACAGATGGCGACTCCTGCTGCTTTTGAGCTTTGGCCCCAGAAGTGAGCACACAGAGAGCTCCTCATTTGTTTGTGTTTTCTCTAAGTGGGGCAGTGGTGTCCAGATGCATAATCTTACGGATTGCCCTTTAAAAACATATGAAGAAGTCTTGCCAAATCAAAGCTTCCAAAGTGATGCTGATTGTAGTTTATGACTTATCTGTTCTAAACGTCTGTAGGATTTTCTCTTCTCTTTATTGCCAACAAAAACAATTAAAAATGACTGTGAATATTGTTCTTGGGAAGAACATTTTGCTTTCCTCTGGTCTGATATATGTACTTCCATTTAAATGTATTTTGAAATAATTAATATATGTTTTGAATTTAAAAATACATTTTTATTGTGGAAAATCATAAAAATTAAGTTTAAAACATTTATCATAGTTTGATTTTTTAATCAATATTTAGCTACTAGAAGTAGAAACTGTAAAACATGACATACAGAATATGCATGTATACATATGCATAGGGACTTGTACACATAAACACACATATCCTTAATTTATTAATTAAATTGTAGGAATTAAAAAGTGAATTGTTATTAAACCTGAAAAATCTCTTTTTGAAATAAAAGTAAATTTTTGTTTTGATTTGAAAACTTTAAGTTCATGGTCATTTTCTAGATAATTTCTAAATGGACTAGAGATTTGGTTAAAATGAAAATATCAGAAACAAATTTTGGCATATAGTACTTTTTTTTAACAATCTAAGAACTCTTTTTATAACACCCTCCCCCAAAAGGTCAAAGTTTCCATAGGAACCTGATGCATAATCTTGTTTTAAGACACGCTTTTGAAATACAGATCTGAAACCAGACAATTGATTTTGAAGGTCTGTGTTAGGTAGTTAATTAGTTAACACAGTATTTCTCAAGCCTTCCAATTATGACATGGCATATGGATTCTATTAGATCAAGTCAAATGAACCAAAGATTGCACACAGCCTATCTTCAGTAATTAATTATCCTAATTGAGCTACATTAACTTTCTGTCTTTGTACCAATAAGTTGTTGACATGTTGGTTTTTTGGTACAATATACGGCAGTTAAATTTAAGACAGGAAAATATAAAGACATTAATAATAATTAGGCAGCATAGATTGTGACTCAGATAATAAAGTAAATATCCAATTTGTTTGTAGGCCCAGGGAAACACATAATTAGTTTGTGGGCTAAGGGGAAAACATTTTTACAAGTAAAAAAAATTATTTTTCATTTGATAGAGGTTTTCCATGCATAAGGCATCATAATAAAAGAGGGAGGGAGGGAAATACTTGAAATGTTATTTTTAACTGTGGCTTTACAACTGGCCTTACACAAATATTTATAGATGCCAGAGATGTTTAGTTCTATTCACTGCTAGTTTTCTTTTTTTTTTGGGGGGGGGACAGGCTAGGGGATAGAGGAAACCTCTCAGCACCTACTTTTTCTAAAAATAAGACCTCAGCTCAGAAAATCTTTCTACCATGTCAGGAGAAAAAGATTTATATTAATTTGTCTACAATGACCACTTTGGTTATAGTAGACAGAAACACCATTTGATAGCAGAGTTGTGATCTATGGTGGAACTTAAAACACACTGCATCTACGTGGGGTAAGAGCTTACAGTGCATTCAACAAAAAAATTCTTGAGAGCCCATTGGACTGTCCTAAACATACACTCTGGTAGCTCAAGTGTGTTAAGGGAAGACATGAACTAAAAGTATAATGGAAGGTCTTAAAAGAAGACAAAGAAAGAGATATTTTAAAATGCAAATGTACCAGCGGGGAGAAGGATGAGGGCTAGAGATTGCAGAGCTCAGAGATCATTCTCCACTTCAGAAACCACACTTACAACCTTGAGCAGTAAAAGACGTCACAAGTTGTTTCCCAACAAAGGATTTCTTTAGCCATGTGAGGTCTCACATTCATGTGAACACAGCCACCTTTAACCAGGAGGAAGGGAATGGATATATCAGAATTAACCTCATAGTTCCTTCCAAAAGTTGTGGTTCATTTAGACTCAATCTGCCATTTAGTTCTGCCCCCTGATGGTCTCTTTTTACCTTGGATTTGTCTTTGGCCTTTGTTTTCTAGGATGCACTCTTTGTGGCTTGGCCTCTAGTCAATCTAAGTTCCTTGTGTTTTTCTAGGCCAGGATATCTAAGAGTTATCTTAGCTCTGGTTTTTTCTTCTTTTTTCTAGTAGGTCCTTGATAGACAATATTCTCCTCAGGAGGAATCTAGCTATGAGATAATGAGAACACGTCATCATTTCTATAGTCTTTTATCTGACATATTGGCTGTTATCACTGGTATAAAGAAAATAGATGAACATCTTTCAACTCCTGCATCTCTCTATTACTAAATGCTGCACCCACCCTACAGGGCTCTGCCTATCAGGCACACACTCCTCACAGGCCATTTTTAGTCCAGTCCTCTAGCCTGAGCTACACTTTGCTGCCCTCTTCTGACCCACAGCTCTTATGGCTTGTTCTGTTTTGTTAACTTTATTTATTTAGTGTGTTTGTGCATGTGTGTGCTTGAATGTAGAAGTCAGAGGACAGCTTACGTATGGGCATCAGTTCTCTTTATGTGAATCCCAAGGACGGAACTCAGGTTGTCAGCCTTGGCCGCAAGCACTTTTACCAGCTGAGCCATAGAGATGGCCCTTAAAAAAATGTTAACACTTACTTCATTACAGTTTTAATCTGGCATGAACCAATGGATTTTCAGGATCTCTATGGAGCCAACTCTTTTCAGGTTTTTATTATTTCTATCATTCATATTCCTGCCCATGAGTAGTGATTGTTGTTTTTGTGATGTTTAAGAAGGTAGAGCTATACTGAACATGGAGAAGTTGAGCTGGTGCCTATCTAGATAGAGCCATCACCTCTACTGACTAGTGTTGATGGTACTAGAAGGTACTCTGCATGCTACCACAGGAGGATGGGAAACACCAATCCAGTTACAAACTCTTGAATCTACAATGATGACCTGCCTGAAAGAGGTGCTACTGCAATAGTGGCACAAAGCTTGTGGGGTAACCAACTAATATCTGAATGGATTTAAGGTCCACCCCCTGAGAACGAACACATCCCCGACACTGTTCCGGTGACCAAGAACTAGAAACCAGATAGGCCAGGGACCTAAGGGCAAACAAACTACTGTTCCGTTAAAGGAACATAACCATAAAGTGAGTCCTAATAACATTCTGCTATACTCATAGATCAGGTTTTGCTTAGTCAAAATGAGATGGAGATCTATCTATCTATCTATCATCTATCTATCTATCTATCTATCTATCTATCTATCTATCTATCTATCAATCATCTATCTATCTAATTAAATGAGATGGAGATCCAAAATAAAAGCATAGATGATTATGCTAATTGTAAAAAACGCTTGTATTTATTATTTTGGTGTGTTCACAAAAAATCTAAAATACTACAACCATACATATTCATTATTTTAACAAGTATTTGTTTAGTGTGTTAGTATCTTTTAATAAGTAGTAGAATGGATAATGCATGTTCATTTATGTTTAAGGTGACTATCCCTAACTGGGCTAGGGCAGGCACTGAATTAATTGTAGCGGTATTTGCTCTGCCCATGACCTTAGTCTATATGGTCCAAAGGAGGTGTTTTAGCCAGGAGGGAAATCCAAGAAGAGATACAGGCTGAAGGGCAGAGTCAAGAGAGACACCAGCTGGGGCTCAAGGAACAAGATGCCACTAGACCAGTAATGCCAAGGCCACGTGACAACATATAATTAATAGAAATGGGTTAATTTATGATGAAAGAGCTAGCTAGCAAGAAGCTTGAGCCGTAGGCCATACAGTTTGTAACTAATATAAGCCTCTGAGTTATTATTTTATAAATGGCTGTAGGACCTTGGGTGGGAGAGATTCGTCTGGACCTTGGGGTCGGGCAGGACTGGAGAAACTTCCGGCTACACTGAATCATCAAATTTAGGGCTTGGTAGAATAGATGCATGTGCCCTCAAGTATATGCAAAAGTATATCACTTCAAAAATCAGCGATAGAGTGCTCGCTTCGGCAGCACATATACTAAAATTGGAACGATACAGAGAAGATTAGCATGGCCCCTGCGCAGATGAAAGAAACATTCCAAGATCTGAAAAATGAATTTGAGACAATAAAGAAAACACATGCTGAGGGAATGCTGGAAATAGAAATCCTGAC